TAAAGCTCAATGCCTACCATGGTCAGTTGTGCTCATTCTTGTTGCATGTCCTCAATCTGGCAACCCACATGAGCGACGAGTCTGTGGAGTAAGGGGCTGGAGAAACAACTCTCCAATATTTTGAATTTGGACAGCAGTACCCATTTCAACTGCTAGCTGTCAATAGTACATACTTCACTTTTAAATGGGATATGAGGCCACGGGAGAGGATTTGTAAATGGCAGAGAAGCAACCAGTAATATAGGGTGACTAGTATTTGCGGGCTGTTTTGTTCATCTGTTGGTTACCAGAACAATCATGTAGTAGCCTAATTATTTGCACCAACAGAGGGCGCTGCAAGCTACACTAATTATTTGGTCACATGCCGCTACTTTAGCCATGAAGAACTTAAGGCCAAAGTTTACTTCAGTTTACTTTGTACACGAGGGACAGCATACAGTGTGCGTGACGCAAATTTCGTCACCAGAATAGTACACGCATACTGTACGCACGCCATCCAATTTTTGTAACCGTTCATACTTCGGTCCTGTCCCAAATAGCACCCTAAACCCTCGCGGTCTTCCTCTGAGTCCACACTTTCGTGAAGTGATGACGCTTTGACTGTCGGGTAGTAGTCTTCTGCAGAGCTCGCCTCAGTGTGGGCTCGGCAGAAGTGCACATCGAGGGTGCATAGCGGCTGCAAAGGGGGCGCTCGCGAGCACCCTTCTGAAAGCTAAAATGAAGAATGGAACACTCTATGGTCTTGCGGACTTAACTGACACATCGTTAAGTCCAATTGTAAGTCTACAAGACCGCAAGTGCACACGAAGTGTGCCATTTGGGACAGGGCCTTTGTACGTACAGGTCGCACATGTTCGTTGACTTGGTTTTGCACTAAGAAGTTGTTCCACAAGGTGGCAACACTGCAACAGGGCACTGTTTCACAGTAGAAAACGAAACTAAAGAGAGAACAACAACAAAGTAGTGGAGACTGCAACAACGACTCGGAGTCCAGCCCGGGGTCGTCACATGTGGTTGCCGCAAGCCCGCCGGACGCTCCTTCGTCGAATCCGCCGGCCGCGCGAAATCTCTGAATCTCAAGCCCGCACGCCTCTGCTCACTCAAGCCGGCCTCTGCTCACTCTAGGCCGCCGGCCGCCGCTCACTCAATTACGCGGCGCGATGCAATGCAACGCGTAAAAAGACAGTATAAGTCATTATAATCAGTAATTATGTCCCTACTGGATGCAACAAATGCCTCCTTTATAATGGGTTTTTAATGTTTTTGTCTCGTCGCTCCAGCTGGACAGGGCATCACAATATTGTAAGGGGCGTAACATTTCTGTCACATGCTTGAGGTATTCGGCCAATCATAATGCACTGGATAGCTGGCCAATCACAGCACACCTCGCTTTTTCTGACCGATGAGCTTTGTAAAAATCGACACGTTTCAGAAAGGCGGGGCATAGAGGAGAAACAATAATGTACAGTATGTGGAAAATAATGTGTTTTTTTAACCTTAAACCGCATAAACACATTTCATTACACCAAATACACAAAATAATGTTTTTTTTAGCAACATCATATGACCCCTTTAAAAGAGTACAAAGACTTTTTAATCAGTCATAACTTCTGGAGAAAAATAGAGCAGACAGACACTGGACAAAGAGGAAGCTTTCCAGAGCGCATGTGTCAAGGGCTTGCGTTCACGCACGCTATAAAATGGAGTATACTTTGAAAGACTACACGTTCGACTGTACTCATATGCTGGCGTATGCATAAAAAAACTGAAGTATACCTTGGGCTTTAGTCCAGTGTCTGTGCTATTTTCTGAATTTTGTTCAGTGTGAGTTGTGCAACACTCAATCGCCGTTTACGAATACCATTGGAATGAATGAGAAGTGCCATAAGCTGTATCTCACCTGTCGCAAAAAGTCAGTGACTTCTCTCATAAAACGCCATTTTTTTCTGTGTAAACTCTAAAAATAGCCTAATCCAAAAGTATTGCTTAGTGTAAAACATGTTGGAGATTAGCTGATAGGCTGTCGATTTCTTAAAGGATAAGCTGTTTCCTCTAAAAAGCTGTTTATTCAGCGTAGTGAAGCCACTCCTCCATTGACATCCATTAAAAAAATGGCCTCTGGTCTCCTTTCCCACATACTGGCAAACCGGAAGCGTTAGCATTAACCGTTACGTTAGCCAGTTTTTTGGCTAAAGGTTGCAGGCTTGCCTTCTAGTGGCTTTGGGTTCTACGGAAAACCAAAGACTATAGAATACCCAAGATGTGTAACTCGTATAGTTTTTAATGGGGAAAAATGCAACGCTGAATATGGCCACTCTATCGAACGAAGCCCCACCTTCTGCGTAAAAGAGCCAATCGCTAATCGGTGAAGTCCCGGTTGCTATAGAAACAGTCAGCGTTCTGAGACGTGCTCTCAGGACTGCGCATGTGCACTGGCTGATCTAGCCTGAAAAATAGGCTTTTTTTAACACTATTTGAGCAAAAGAAACAACATTTATGAGACAGTTGTCAGATTTCATTGGTGATTTCAAATATGAATTTAAATTTTAAAGGGGTCATTTGATGTCGCTAAAAAGAACATTATTTTGTGTATTTGGTGTAATGAAATGTGTTTATGCAGTC